CGGCAAATGCTTCGAAATATTTAAATATTTTTATGGTTTCATGAGTCCACTCAATAACAACGTGAGTAACGATTCCTTTATTGGAGAAACGAAAAAGGCAGATCATCATAACGACTTATCAATTACTTATTCCTTCCACGAATAAATTGCACATATTTAGTCAATTCACTTAATATGCAAGAATTAGCTAACGCATAAGGTTAGCTGCCTAAATTTACAACGTGATATCATTCCAGAGTAACCTATTCACCTAACTCATGTTAACTAATAAGAAGATATTTATTTTCTTATTGATCATCAGAAGCATTTTACGAATGCTTTTCTATATTTAACATCACGACTTATCTTTTTGGATTGATTCATAATATTATAAGCACCTAACACTTTTTTTTATAATACGGTATAAAACATTATTGTACCGTTTTCCATATTCCATTAAACTGTGCGCCATCTATAGAGAACCAGCTGCACTAATTTAAGACCTGTTGGCGTAGAAGTTGAATAATTACGACAAAATGATTAAACTCTTAATAAATTTCAAGAAATCGATAAATGGAGTTATATAATGTATTAAGTATAAAATAGTGAGTCATTGTGGATCAAAAGAAATTAAAGGATCGAGCTAGATCATTACGAAAAATGGCCCTCCGTCAAACTCTACGAAGCTTTGAATTCTGACAATTCTTGACGTCTCAGTGGGCACTAAGTCGTCAAAGTAATTGTACTTTGGAAGTACTTAGGAAAGAATGCAACTTTAAGGGACCGTATCCCAAAAACATGAGTTTTTACGAATTAACGCCCATTAAGACTTTCGATCTACACGTCTTGAACTATACTTCATTTACTTTCTCTAGCGAACGGCCTCTTCCAAAGTCATGGATGCGCGCTGGCAAATCATAGGGAGAAAAAAGCTCATTATACTCTCGACTCTTGTTCATTAAACATACTTTTTCATACAGTACCTGCCAAAAGTTTTGTTCAATCATGAATAGTAGTGCGAGTCGAAAACAAGTGTTAAAGCCTTTAATATGTCTTCAAATATAAATAAACATCTCGTTGATATTTTCAGTAGTAAATGGTACCAATAACAGCACATTTGAGCAATGAAATTGTAGTGGATAAAATGGTCAATTTTTCCGTGTAGTACTGTACGGATTATACGCTCCTCACCGGTTAAGAGTTTGGCGGAGAGTTGTCTCCTTTCTTTTCTGGCCTAGTGCTGTTCTTTTCTACTTTGTGCCGGTCAAACTGAAGGTCACATCGCTACAGGAAGTAAACGAAGTATACCAACTCAATGAGTCTGATAGGGGGCCATTTTCCGTAAGGATCTAATGGGGTCTATCCTAAAATCAGTTAGAGGGTGAAGTTTTCGCCTTCCTGTCTGGCTGTTTATTTCGATATATTATTAATTTTTTTATTTGCACTTAATTTTTATGTTTTATGATGGTCCCGCGTTCTGTGATAAAGATTCAAGATCTCTTTTATCATTTTGACACGCTGTATATTACCTACTCTTACAAATAAAATTTACATCAGAAAATATGACTTCTGTGTATGATGATCATCTGCATCTGCTGTTTTAAAATGCCTATTTGAATCATCAAGAAATGTATTGGTCATGCAAGGCTACTAATGTTACTGAATCAATAAAATGTAACGTTTTTTAATGAACTAAATGAGTAAGCACATTTATTCAAATTGCCCATGCAAATTTGGTTTTAAATAACTCTATTAATTCCCAGAGTAAAAATGCAAGGCTTATTCTGAGTTTTTATGAATAATTCATGCGAACGTTTATTTCCATAGAGTCAATAAAGAGAGTAATTCAGGACCGTTTGTATAAAAGGTGTAATAAAGTTTATCAAGCTCTTAATGTAGAGATGAGGTGGAAAAAAAGTAGTGAACAACTACTTCAAGAATGAACTGGCTGCTACTCAGAAAATGAATAATGAATTTTAAGCAAAAATTGTGAAGCCTTTTTGACATTGAACTACTACACGTTTTTTTTTAGTTTTAGCAGGAGTGTGTTTGATGAAAACATGTCATACATTGAAAACTTACTTCTGTAGATATAATAATCGCAAAATAATAAGTTTAACTGCAAAAGAATCTTTTGGTAGGCCAATTTAATAGATAATAATAAATTTTGTTATAACAATTTTATTAAATTTGTTGTTGTTAACCAACAGTAATAATATTAATTCC